ACAACAAAACCTAATTCATCACCTTAGGGGATGGTGGAGAATCATTCATTATTTTGAACACTGGTATATAAAGTGAAAGAAGCCAGCCCTTTTCTTGCCTTTCCTATAGGAAGTTCACTGGGTAACCACACAGGAAGTAAAGGGAAGGAAGCATCTGACAAATGAAGAATTCTACCTAATAAACAGGGAAGAAATACTGGAGGAAGGTCACTATTTTGTAACCCTCAATGGCTGCTGGCCTCATGCAAGGAGAAACAAAGAGTTTGAGCTTCCTGGCAAAAGGACACAACTCCACTCATGGACATACCAAGGAATTAAACCCGAGTCTGACCCCAGTTCAAGAACAAACCACAAATTTTCAAGGCGTAGGGAAGACAGAGCAACATACTGGACTGCATCATGAGTGTGCAATCAATGACACCCCAACTGTGGGAAACACTTCAGGGCAAATAGCCTGAGTTGTGCGTTTGATTTATCACAAGGGAAGAAAAGGGATGGAGGGGGCCTGTGGGTTAACAGAGACTGAAAAGACATAGCAGTTTCTTTTGGAATGGGCAAGACTAAACTACAGTGTCTAGAGATGCATATTCAGGTGTTAAGCTATTCAGGAATTCAAGGCAATGATTACTACACAAGTCACAACAGTGGTTACTTTGCAAAGTAAGGAGGCAGCTGTGATGGGGATATGGAGAATGGAGGGCCTTCTGAGGTAGCTGGTGATGTGTTGACCTGGGTGGGGGTTATAATTATGTTCATTTCCCAGCTGGGTTTCTCAAACTAAGCACTATTGACATTCAGGCCATATAATCCTGTTGTGAGGGGCTGTTCTGTGCACTGTAGGGTGTTTAGCATCATCCCTGACCTCCACCCATTAGATCCCTTCCCCCTCTCCATCATGACAATAAAATATCACCCTGGTTGAGAACCTCCCTCCAGTACTCCTTAAGCTATACTTTTAGTTTATGTAGTTTCTTTTTTTTCTTCAAAGATTTTTTTTATTGATTTCCAGAGAAGGAGGAAGGGAAAGGAAGAGAGAGAAACATCAATGTGAGAGTGAGACATCAATTGGCTGCCTCTGGCATGCCTCCTACAGGGGGTCAGGGATTGAGCCTGCAACCTGGGACGTGTGCCCTGACCTGGAATCGAACAGACAACATTTTGGTGCACCAGATGACACTCAACCAACTGAGCCACACAGGCCAGGGCTTATGTGGTTTCTTGGGTTTGGCTCTATGTGTGTGCATTTTATTTTACAGTAAAAACATTTTTAAAATTCCAATGGAGTTTTCATGGGAAAACTCGACAGAATTCTGCATACGGTTTATGTGCATGAAGAAAAGACAGCGGAAATTACCCAGGAATTTTCTAAAAGGAGGAATATCAGATATTGAAATACATTCTAAAGCTACAGTAGTTAAAGTGAAGTGGCACTGGGACAACATAGAGGAATTTGGAATAAATCACTTTCTTCTGGACGGGCTCCACTGATCAGGTAAAGTCCGAGAGCTTCAGATGTGCCTTTCTGCCCGTCCTCTCCCACCAACACATTGACCTAGTCAAAGTCCTCCATATAGGGAGCTTCCTTCTCTTCCTTTACATGTGCACTTTCTTCTATTTGGAGCACCCTTCCTTTAGTGTTATCCCTCCAGGCTGCCTCACCAGACCCTCCAGGTCAGGGATTTGCCTCTCTTGTCTCCTCCCATAGACTCCAGCTCCCACCTGTCATCCCCTTACCATAAACTTTAGCTTGGAAATCTGCCTCTGCCTCTCAGCTTTGAGGTCCAGGATGGCAGGATTGTGTCCCCTTAGGGACCTACACAGTGCCAAGTACACAGAAGGTGCTCAATAATGCTAAAATAATCAGGAGAAAACCTACCTGTACAGTCACTTTAGATAATAACACATTCCAAATGGATTAAAATGTTAAATGTAATTTTAGATAATTAGTTGAACAAGCGTTTATTGAGCACCTACTGTGTGTCCGGGGAACTGGGTAAAGCAGTTACCTAAATAAATCAGTGTCCTTATGGTGCTCACATTAGTGGAAGAGACATGCGCAGGGAAGACGGTTCAGGAAGGTGGATGGCCAAGTGCAAAGACCCTGCCGTGGGAAAGATCCAGGGTACTGGTACCTCGCCCAAAGTGGGACCTGGGCATCAGTCCTTCCAGCTTCCACCCAAAGTATCTTCCAAACGCACAAATTTCCTCACTGAGTCTCCGGCTCAGGGCCTTCCCACGGCTCTCTAATGTCGGGTGGATCAAACCCAAGGTCCTTAGCGGTGAGCTGGACAGCACTTGGCCGAGGCCCTCGGCGGGGCTCTCTCCCTCGGGGACCATCACTCCAGGCCCCGCCTCCCAGACCGCCCCACAGTCCCGGCGCCGGCCCACTCCGCCTTACTATTGGACAGTTCGGAGAGGGTCGGGCGTTGGTTGGCTGGAGTGACCGTCAATTAGGGTTAGGGCATTGATAACCCGTTCTCGAGCTTCGAGGGGGCGGGCTTGGGTGCAGGCTCGGCTGGGGCTGCGGCATCAGGTAAATCGCCTGCTTGTGGGGTACCGGTGCGGTTCTTGGGGGGATAAAGGGACGCCCCGGGAAGGGGCTATGAGCCTTCAGCCCCTCTGCGGGCCCAGCGCGCTGCGACGGGGCGGGCACCGTGTCCCCCGGCTGGGACCCCTCCCACACTGAGAGCCCGTAGTGGGCAGCTGGCAGAATGGGAAGCTCTGGAGTCGTGAGATCGCCCTCTACCCACCCTTCAGGAGCCAAGTGGGGGGCTTATTCGCCCCTAGCTCCCCTACCGACTCTAAGACCCTTTCCCCGCGTCCCTCCCGGACAGCTTAGGGACCCGGGTCGAGCCCTTCGCGCTGGACATGGGTGTGTGTGTGTGGGGGGGGGTGGGATGGGCCTGGGCCTGGGGACCAGCCAGGCGGTTCTAGGTACTGGTGTCCCGTTGCGGAGGCTTCGAGCCAATAAGTGAAGGAAAGGGACCTCGATCGCCACACTCTGAAGGATGCCGTCCCTCTCCACATAGCGATCCTAGCCCCATGTGATCTGACCAGCTACCACACAGTGCCCACTGGGTATGGAGACCCTCTGTCACATGAGACAGGAAGGGCCAGTGTGGGACACTGTGGGGCCTGGCACCCAGCCTCTCTGTTGCCGCAGCGCTACTATGGCAAACACAGCTCTTCGCTGCTCTGACCTGCCTCGCAACCTGCTGGACCCTTCCGTNAATGGGTAGCGGATGGAACCGCCCGGCGGCGTTTCCTGTAGGAAACGGCTCTGTCTCTGCGAGGCAGTCCTGGGGGGGACGGTGAGGGGGTGGTGGGTGCTGACCTGAGTCCCTCCCCTCACACCATCATCAGCCAACATCTGCACCTCAGGGATGTGCAAGTTCTACCCCAACGTTAGAGGGCGCCATCACCGGGGGCCTCAAGCCCGGGGGAAAAAGTCCCCTCCCCAAGATCCGGAGCCGCACTGCCCGCACTCCTCGAATTTCATGATCACAGCACCGAGTCCCGAAATAGTCCCTGGGGCTGGAGTGGGGCGTGTGGCATCTGCTTTGACGGCCTAATGAGGGGGCCTCAGGCGGAGGATCCGGGTCTAGCAGTGACAGCTCCGGCAGCCAGCGGAGGAGAGAGCAGGGCGCCTGCACGACCCTGCTCCGATGAGGTTGCAGCCCACCGGAGCCACGGAGTGTGAGCCTGCTCCCCGCCATCAGGGACACACCGGGGACAGGCATGAGTGCAGGCTGGGAGGTCGGGGGAGGGCTCTTTCTAGAAGGCCATCAAGTGGAGTGGTCAATGCAAAAAAAAAGGGGCAAAGCTGCCAGGGTTTAAATCCTGCCTTTGCCTGTATGTGACCTTGGGCACATCACTTAATCTGTATTTCTCCATCTGTATAATGGAGGAAAGGAGAATGATAGTAACCTACTGCAGAGGGTTTAGCCAGGATTTCTTAAAAGTTAATTAATACCTACAGATTGCCTAGAATTGAAGCTGGTCCATTGAAAACGGAAAAATTATTGTTTTAATTATTATTTACCATTCTTGGAGCATCCACCCATTTCTCAGCCCAGCTTCTGAATCCAGCTGCAGCAGCTGGTTGGGGCCTTAGGGATGGCCCACAGCTGTTCTTTGAGTTCCCAGCACCTCAGATTTGGGTGTTACCAGGTCACTGGAGGAGGGGGCTGACCCCAACTGAGTCACACAGTGAGCTGTGTGTGAGGGAGGCCCAGACTTCTAATCCCCCACCTAGGCTTTTTCCATGGCCCAGCTCTTCTCTGGCCGTTTCCTAAAAACAAGTCCTGAGAGGAACTGAATGTCCTCTGTGATGGTCAGCTGTCCTGCTGGCCTACCCCTTGCAGCCAGCTGGTATAAGAGGACAGGAAACAGCTGCTTTGGGATTGGCCTTGGGGTGGGTGTGGGAGGTCAAGGAGCCAGGTTGGACAAAGGTGGGAAGTGGAAAGGTGATTAGTTTAGCACAGATGAGCAGTGGGTCAGGGAGAGGGAGGTCAAGGAGCCAGGTTGGACAAAGGTGGGAAGTGGAAAGGTGATTAGTTTAGCACAGATGAGCAGTGGGTCAGGGAGAGCTCAGATTGGGTCTGGTAGGCAAGGGTCCCCGGAAGATAAGTAGAGCCCAATCTGAGGGTGTTTCCCATAGACAATTGACTTAATTGCTTTGTACCTCAGTTTCCCCATCTGGAAAATGTGAATACCTGCCTTGCAGGACTGCACAAGATTACATTTAATCAAGCAGGGCAGCTTGCCCTTCCCTGAAGGTTTTTCATTGTGGGCTCTTCAAAGCTCTACTTTTCACCCTGTGCTTTTTGTTGTTGTTGTTGATTTCAGAGAGAGGAAGGGAGAGGGAGAGAGATAGAAACATCAATGATGAGAGAGTCATTGACCAGCTGCCTCTTGCTTGCCCCCTGCTGGGGACCGAGCCCACAACCCAGGTATGTGCCCTGATGGAGAATCAAACCAGGATCTCCTGGATCCTAGGTCGATGCTCAGCCTCTGAGCCATGCCAGCCAGGCTCACCTTGTGCTTTCTGATGCCAAGTTCTGGACTCAAGATTTCTCTTTGTAAAATATCACATTATTAGATGTGTCCCAATGTCCCTTAGTTTTTTATGTCACCCCAAGTTACTCTCCCTCCAGCCTCAGGCATAGTTTCAGCTCTGACAGCCTGGGTGCTTGTGGTTTCATTACAAGCTCTTACAAGCCAAGGGCAGAGCCTTGTGGCACTCCACTAGAGACATTCCAGGGATACAGGTATCGATTGATTTGCATCCTTTGTGCATCTGGCCCACAACTCTCCATCTTTCCTATAAGGGTCTCATAAGTCACCTTGGTAAACAATTCTATTTGTTTGCACTTGTCTATGGAAAAAATTCAAGTGATTCTGTTTTTTTGTTTGTTTTTTAATCTGCAGAATCTGACCAGATGAGTTCTTAATGAGCCCATGAAGGGCTTCCAATTCTTGCCTTCCTCTCCCGAAGATTCACATTCCACCCGTGACCATTAATTTCTGATTTTCCCCACGGATTGACAGAAAACTCAGCAGGTCTAGAATGACACCCATCCCCATCACCAGCTACTCTTCTTTTCTTGATCACTTTCCTTTCTTCTTTTGATGCCCTTCCTGCCTTCTGCCCAGCAGGCTGAGGCCTGGCACCTGGGTGTTCCCATTTATTCATTCCAAAGTTTCAAGGCCTCTTGAGGGAGGAGGGAGGAAAGGGCAAGGTGTGTGGGGGTGGGTTGTTGGAGAGGAGCTCTTGGTTCTGTTTACTCTCGTAGAATCCAAGCTGACCTGAGTCACAGCCAGAGGGACAGGGCCTGACTCCACCCTCACCACCACCCCCGGGGGCCTTTTTCAGGGTGTGTCTGGTGGCTACTCCAGGAAACATGGCCAAGTTTGCCCTGAATCAGAACCTGCCTGGTGAGTGTACAAAATGGGATACGTCTGTTTGCACAGATCAACACTTGGTGAACACAGCCCTGCAGTTCCCTCCTTTGCATAGCAGCCAGAGAACCGCCCCCCCCATGCTGCCCTATCACATGTGGAATATAATCTAACTTCTCATGATGGCCTAGGAGTCCCCTTCTGTCACCCTGTTCACCTCTCCTACTCCTCTCTTTCATCACTCTGCTCTGGACACCTTCACCTCTACTGTTACTCTAGCCCACCCCGCTCACTCCACCCCAGGACCTTTGCATGGCTGTTTTCTTTTAGGAACCTTCTGTCCCCAGCTGATTCCTCCTCATCACTCGGCCCTGACAACCACAGCCAAAGTCATGCGTCCTCCAGTTATTCGCTACTTCATCTTATTATTGCCCTAAGCACCATTTGTAATGATTGTGTTTATCTGTCTCCTACAAGAGGGCAGGGATGCTTGTCTTGTTTCATGCTGTGTCCTCAGAGCCTAGAAAATTGCTTGACAGATACTAGGAGCTCAATAAACGTGTTTGCATGACTATTTGGGTGCATATAGGCATTTGAGCCTCGGGTGTGTAATGGCAGGTGTGCAGAGCTTGGTGCAGGTGGAGCTCTGCCGGTGTGTCATGGTGGGGAGGGGACGCGCTTTGTTTACGCAGTCGTTCCGGTGTACCCCTGGCCTAACACCCTTCACGCCCCGGCAGACCTCGGAGTCTCTCGCCTGTGCCCCGGCTCGATCGGGGGCGCCCGCAGCCCGAGGTCGCCCTACGTGGTGGAGACGCCCTATGGCTTTCACTTGGACCTGGATTTTCTTAAATACGTGGAGGAGCTGGAGCGCGGCCCAGTC